AACACAAAGGAGGATGTTTTATGATTGATCACAGATCTAAAGTGGGGATTGGAACCAAGATTGACTTGGAAGCAACCCTTTAATATGAACAGTAGAAGTTCTAAGTAAGTACAGATAGTCCTCAAGTTGCAACCACAATTGGGACCAGCAGTTCCATTGCTAAGAATCAAGTCCAATTTTACAACCTTTTTTGCCACGGTCGTTGAGCAAATCATTGCAGTTTTTAAGTGGATTGTGTGTTGATCATAAACTTCCACCATTGACTTTGCTTGTTGGAAGTCAGTTGGGAAGGTTGCAAATGGTGATCACATGACCCCAGAACTCTGCATCCATGGTAAATACATGCTGGTTGCCAAGCCATTGTAACTTTCAACTGTCACTAAATGAATGGTTGTAAGTCTAGGATTATCTGTAATTAAGGAACATTAACTCTGCTATTATTTTCCTTGCCATGCATTTTGAGAGCTGAAGTTGTTCTTCAATGGTTAGATGACCTAGACATTGATATCTGAATATAGATCTTTCAAGCCTGCAAGCCATCTTTTCTTTTGGACTTTGATCCTGCCACACTTTCTACTATTCGTTTTCTATTGTGGGAAAATGGGAGGGGGGATTATATGGAGTTGGGTGATATGTAGCCATAATAACACTCTTCTCAGAAACTCAAGGTCATCCTTTGTATCTGCACTTGACCAGAACTGGATGGGTGGAACTGCCAGCATGGACCATGTGATGGGCTTATGGGTGTGCGGGCAAGATCTTGAACTTTCAACTGGGTGGGAAAACCTGGAAGCTTTCGGATTCGGGTTTTCCCAGATGTGCCAAAATGGCTCTCTTAATACATTGGAACTTTGAGGAAACTTTTGTCTTGGACTCTGATTTATTTTCAGATGCTATTTGGAACCCTGACACGTTCATCTTTTATAATGTTCTTTTTAATCTTGGGGAAATGTCATTGCAAGCCTATGTATGTTATGTCATACGCTAAATAAATAAGTAAATCTGCTATTATCTTGGACTTCCCAGTTTTAGGCAAATCTTTAAACCCCTACTTTACTTCTTTTCATGATACACAGCAGGTTTTTTAACCACAATAGGTTCCTTATCAAGTTGATGCCAACAAAAACATTGACATGCTCATGACTTGTGGAGAAGTCATTATGATTGTGGGGAAGCTTCTCCGTAACAAATGATCGAATATGACCCTGAGTTACTGCCCCAGAAAGAAGCATAAGAGCTCCCTGTGTTGGGCTAAAGACAATGCTGAGGTGTGCAGTGAGCGGGAAAGAGACCAGGAGGATCATTTCAATAATTTAGACGGCAGCATTGAGGAACGTTCAGAAAGCCCAACCACTGCAACATGGCATTCCATGCGTGGCAGCTGTCATGCCTTCTCTGAAGGATGCTTCATCTGTGGTCCAGCAAGAGCCCAGAGGAGATATGACAGCTGCCCTCAATTTTCATGCCCAGTAGGTAACAATTTCGCACGTTGGCCATTTTGGATTGTTTACTCTCTGCCTCGTAGCCAGGATTATATTCAGACATATGCCAACTGCACATTTCTGGTTTTATCCTCTCCTTTTATGATCTGAGTTTTGGCAAGATTTGTAAGTCTCCCAATTAGCAGCTTATTTGGAAAATGAAATGAAGGATGAAAAGCACTTGTGCTGCATTTCACACATTGGCTAAGCATAGTCGAGTGCCTCTCTGTATTGAAGCGATTGGGGGGGGGGGAGGAATTTAAAGGTGTGAAGTGCTGTGAGCCACGGGGGAAGGACAGTGTTTTTAGCTGAACTACCTGCATTACTTATACTTGGAAAGGTCTGAAGGTGTTTTTTTNCGTTCCACAGGGTCGGAGCTGCAACAGAAAAGGCTCTCCTCCGTGTAGTCGCCAGTCGACATTGACTGGCGGATGGAGTTCAGAGGTGGCCCAGTCATGGTACTATCATTAGTGTGGGCAAAGCCAATATTTTTGGTTCACCGCTTCCAGGAGGCAATTCGGAGGGATGTTAAAGAATAAAGTTACTACATCGACCTTTGCCAAAATTTAAAATATAATTTACCCTTCTATTTTCCTATCTATTTTGTGCCTTATTTTATATACAAAGTAAAAAAAAATCATACTGCTCCAAAACAGCACATTTGATGCTGAATTTTAGCCAAATATTCAGAGGAAGGTACAAACTGCTCACCCTCATAGATAACATTTATACTTAAATACGAATGTACCACAATCTATGAATGATTAAAAAAAAAAAAACCTGTGGATCTGAAGTAAGCTCGTGAAAGCTGTGACATTTAATAAAATTTGTTAATCAGACAACATGCTGCCACGCTCTTGATTTTTCACCACAGTAGTCTAACATGGGTCTCCTCCTACAAATTTAGTAACATTACATATTCTGCTGAAAGGTTCGTTTTGCATTACTTAGCCAATGCAGTCTGTTTAGAAGAGTCTATTAAGAATTTGAGCATACATGCAGAAATGAGATTTAATTCTGTCAAAGAAGCTACGCTTTCTTCTCTTGTTTCATTTTCTGCAATTGACTGTGGCTTTGCAGACACATGCAATATATGGCACCTAATTGATAACCAACATTTAATCATCAGAGGAATCTTTTGAGTTTGCATTCTAATGAAGCTCTCCTTTGTCTAAATATGTTTCCCTTGGTTGGTAATTCATATTTTAGTTCACAGTGTTTAAAAATGGAAGGCGGGCAGAGCTGGATGAGATGTCGACTACGAAGCTCAGTGTGTATTTAATATAAAAATCTTGCATTATTCATTTTCGCAATTTGAATAACTTTGAATTTAGCATTCCTGCTCATCTTTTCTTTGATGAACAATTAATTATTAAAATATAATACTGTCAGCATATGGTACAGGAAACATATTTGAATACAGCCTTAGGGAATCTGCCTTAGGGAAGTTCCATAGAACCATTTTTTGTTGGCTTGTGTGTTTTTGATGACACACAGATTTATTTCTCACTGTAGAGCTGTCAACCAGCAACCCTCAGGAAAAAGCTGCTAAAACAGAGGTCAGATATTATATTACCCATCATTTGAACTGAAATAATTGATTTCTAAAGATAATACTGTTAATCTGTAGATAGAAAATTCATAGCTACTAAGCTTGCACAACTTAAGGCAGTCTTGTTGCATCTGTCAGCTACTGCAGGTGGTATAAATCAGGAATGGGTCCTCCACAGGCTGCAGGCAACAATTTCCAACTTCCAGTTTGCAATCTCTTCCTTATTCCCCAGCTGAGTTTGCCTTCCCTGCTGCCCAGATGGTTAGCCCTGAAAACAGCTGAGGAACACCTTTGCTGGTGTCCCAATGTGCACAAAATTGAGTGTTCCTTGGTGTTCTCTGAGCTTAGTTGTATTTATGCAGACGTTTCATTACCCAAACTAGGTAATATCATCAGTGCTAGAAAGGACTGGGGTTTGCTCTCAGCTTATATTCTACTGCAGGGGGTTTCCAAACTTGGCCACTTTAAGACTTGTGGGCTTCAAGTTCACAAGTCTTGAAGTTACCAAGTTTGGAGTCCCCTGTTCTAGTGGCTTGACCTGTCAGTGTTGGGTGGAAGTGGCCTTGAAGATTGTACTGCCCCATTGTTTACTATGCACAAAGTTGCATGTGTCACAAGAAAAGCATGCTTCAAGAATAGATAGAGCCAAATAAGTCCCAAGAACAGGGGTGTCAAACTGGCAGACCGCGGGCCATATGCATCACATGCATGCCATGCCCACGCAGCTCTGCAAAGGCAAAAAACGTAGCAATATGTCACGTGATGGCAACATGACGTCACAAGTTTGACTCCCGTGCCCAAGAACATCCAAGTTGAAAATTTATTTCTGAGAAGAGGAACACAAAGGAGGATGTTTTATGATTGATCACAGATCTAAAGTGGGGATTGGAACCAAGATTGACTTGGAAGCAACCCTTTAATATGAACAGTAGAAGTTCTAAGTAAGTACAGATAGTCCTCAAGTTGCNTGTGTGTGTGTGTGTGTGTGTGTGTGTTTGTGTGTTTGTGTATAAGAATGAATGAATGTGTTCGTCCAAAGATTTGCATGGGATTGGGACATTCAAGGCTTTTTTTTTTAATCTCCTGTGCTTCTAGGTTTCTTTATCCTCATTAAGAGAATGTATGAAGTTGCCTCAGCTCCAGATAATGGCCTTTTCTGTTCCAAACAAATTCTGAGCGTTAGAGTCCCTTCTTTACGTGCAAAACAGTCCAACTTCAATTCCCGGTATCTCAAACCAAGGTCAAGAAAGACTCCTGTCTCAAACCCTAAAAAGTTGTGCCCAATTATAGACATTACTGAGATGATCAGACCAGTGCTCTGACCCTAGATTGCAATTCCTGAGATCTCATGAGAAGCCTTGTGAGACTTTGCAATCACTTGAATTACTCATAGATAGATGTAGCACTACAACTAAGGGACTTCCTAAGGACCCAGGTTAGAGGTGGAAAAATTGAGGGCCAATCATTTATTTCAACCAGGATAAGAGAACAATTTAAGAAACACCGTCTCAGTCGATAAACTCAGATAATGAAGTTTAGCCAAATGTGTAGCTGTCAACCAAAGATTTAAAAAAATAATATTCAATGAAATATCTTACTTACCTAAAGTATTTTCAAGAACCCCTTTGAACTTAAAACTTTCAAGAATGCCTAATGCTCCCAACTGTCCTTTTTAAGGTTCTCACTTTTGATATGTTTTATACTAATATCTTTAAATGTTTAGGGTTTTTTTACTTTGTTTTGTAATTGTTCTTAATGGATGTATTCCTTTCCCTTATGCTAGTCTATAAATACAATAACAATTGCTTTGTTCTGATACAATTTAACATATTAACAAGGAAATCATACAAGTTATTTATTTATTTCCCGCCTTTATTACTGTATCAACTTAAGGCGATGAACATATCCAATCAGGGGTGGGTTCCTGCCAGTTCTAACTTCTTCTATAGAAGAGGTTCCACAAATCTACAGTGCTATTTAGAACCGGTTCTAACTCCCTCCCCCCCCCCCCCTGCCCGTCCACATATCATCAAGATGAAGAGCGAGAGGAGGAATTCTGGGAGT